CACCGGGCAGCATGGCCAGGCTTTGGGCTGGCGCCAGGGCTTTGCCATGGCTCTGTCCCCTGGGCTCCAGTGCCCAGCCCAGCTTTAGGTGAGCAAGTCTGTGTCCCTACAGCCAGGAGGCGAGCCCGGACAACGAAGGAGCGCTGCATACCTCCTTCCACCAGCTCATCCAGGAGCAGAGCACCTTGGTAGAGGCAGGTCTGGAGCTGGAGATGCAGGCGAGGGGCAGAGGTAAAGCGCTGCAGCTGTGCTGGGATGGGGACAGCGTGTGGGCACAGACCCATCTACCATTCAAGACCCTGACTGGGCCAGCGAGGGCTCATGCTGAAGCTGCAGCCAAAGCTCTTGTAGGAGCCCGCTGATGCCTTCAGCCAGTGCAGGCAGCAGGACAGACCTGTCCTTGAAGAAGGGGTGGTCAGGGAGGAGCACACACCAGGGCAGGCACCTGGCCTCTGTGCCAGAGCAGGGCAGCAGGGCTGCAGGGACTGGAGCCATGGGAGCTCCGGCACTCATCACTCACCACCCTCCCTCTTCCAGAGCACCCGGCCTGCCTGGCCCCCCCAGACACTTGTGCCACAGCCTGGTCAGAGCCCAGGCAGGGCGAGCAGCACCCCGGCTACTCCTCTGCCTCCCTGCGGATCCTTGCCAGCATGCCCAGCCGCACCATCGGTAGGTGCCACCCACCCTCACACCCTTCCCCAAACCTAGGCGCCCCTCGGCAGAGCTCTCCCATCTGCCCTGCTCTCTCACAGCTGCCCAGCCCCCTGCCCTGCTCTCATCCACAGGGCGTAGCCGCGGCGCCATCATCTCCCAGTACTACAACCGCACAGCCCAGCTGCGGCGCCGGAGCAGCCGCCCACCCCTGCAGCAGCTCTGCCACACCGCTCGGCCCAGCCTGCGGCAGTACGACCTGGATTCCGACCCTGCCAGGGCCACTCTGGAAGGTGAGGGTCCCCTGGGAGTGGGGGCAGGCAGTGCTGGGCACCATCCCCCTGCTGGGTTCAGGACAGGCATGCCGTATCCTGGCCAGCTGCATCCTGCTGAGCCCTTTGTGCCCCCAGACAAGCGGAGCCTGCTGGTGAAGGAGCTGCTGAGCCTCTCGCCCAGCCAGCGCAGCCACATGCTGCTTGCCGTGCCCCTCAGCCTGGCAGATAAACGCACCCTCCGGTAGGTCTTCTCCCACTGGCTCCGGTCAGGCAGGGCTCCCACAGCCGGGGCTGTCCCGGGGCCTGTGCCACCCTCTGACATCCCTCTCTGCTGGGCAGGCACGAGCTGAGTGGGCAGAGGGGCACACTGAGGCAGCACGCCCAGCACCGGGCCCTCTCCTCTCCCTGCGGATGGTCCAAGGACCACATCGTCCTCGTAAGTCTGGGGCGCGGGTCTGCGCAGCAGCCATCAGGGGCTCTGGTACAGGCTCCAGCTCCAGTGCTCTCCCCAGGCTTCCTTTCTCCAGGGCTGTCGGGGCCTCTGGTACAGGTTCCTTTCCCTGCTTCCCGCTGTGAAGCCCTGGCACTACGCCCTGAAGCAGATCGGTGGCCGTTTCGGCTCTAGCGTCCTGTCCTACTTCCTCTTCCTCAAGACACTCCTCATGTTCAACATCTTATCATTCCTCATCCTCCTGGTCTTCGTGGTGGCCCTGCAGGCTGCATATCCCCCTGCCTCGGCCAGCGCCCACCCCTTCACCAGCCTCGAGCTCCTCACAGGAGCGGTAAGCACTGCCAGCACGCCAGTGCCAGCACACCCTTGGGCCAGGAGCTGCTCCAAGCCTGGGGCTGAGCCCTGCATCCCTGCCACAGTGAAGCCCCAGTCCCTGCCCTCGCGTAACCAGGGCCCTGGAACCTCCAGTGCTGGTGCCTGGTGCTGCCCCAGCCCAGGGCTCTGTGTCCCCTTGGGCTGGCATGTGTGCCATGCTAGGCATGGAGCTGCGGGCACTGGTGAGATCACTGTGGGCCGCATTGTGCACTTCCCCACAGGGCTACTTCACTCACTCGCTGCTGTACTATGGCTACTACAGCAACGTCACCCTCAACGACCCCCTGCTCAACATGCCACTGGCCTACTTGTTCAGTGTTGGGGTCTCCTTCCTTGTCACCTGAATGGCAGCTCATGCCCCATCGCAGCCCCCCTGCTCAACATGCCACTGGCCTACTTGTTCAGTGTTGGGGTCTCCTTCCTTGTCACCTGTGTTCTGCTGGTGTACAGGTGGGTCAGCAGTGCCTCCCGGTACTGCCAGCCTTCCCCATCCTCCCAGCCCTGGTGCCCTGACACCCTCCCTCTCACTGCAGCATGTCCCGCTCCTTCAGGGAGAGCTACCGTGTGGGCAGCTCCGCAGGGGACCTGGCTGTCAAAGTCTTCTGTGCCTGGGACTTCAAGGTGATCCAGAGGCGCTCAGTGAAGCTACAGTGTGAGAACATCTGCACCCAGCTGAAGGTGAGGCGCTGGGCTGGAGTTGGCCCCTGCACGCCCTGCGCCCTGCAGCGGGAAGGCAAAGGCGTTCACAGAAGCCAGTCCAGACCCTGGGATCAGCACCCCTCTCCTACTCAGTGCATGAGGGAGTCCTGCAGCTGCAAGTACCCCCTGACACCAACCCTGCACCACCGCTTCGTCCATCAGCCCTCTGGGTCCCACCTCAGTGCAGCGGGAAAAACCCTTGCTCCAGACCTGGAGCATGTTCAGCAGCACTGGCACTGCTCTCTTCCAGGAGCTGCTTGCGGAGCAGCGGTCCCGCTCGCACTCCCTGAGCCTCTGCCAGCGCCTGGGGCACACTGCCGTGCTTCTCCTGGCCTGGGCCCTCTCACTGAGCACGGTGCTGGGCTGCGTGCTGGCCGTGCACTACTTCTCAGAGCACATGCACGTGGTGAGTGCAGCGCCCTGCATGGGCCCTGGTGTTGGGGGGCCAGGGCTGGGCTACTGGGGAGGGAGGCCAGAGCAGCCTTGGGAGGCAGAGGCAGCCCCGCTGCAGCTCCCCTTCTGGTACTGGCGTTTGCTGCCCTCCCCGAGGGAGCCGGGCTGCCAGCAGCCGCGTTCTCACCCTGTACCCGCTGGCCCGGTTCAGGAGG